AAAGCCCCCTCAGATTCAACCTTTGGATATAGAACTTGCTATAACTCATCAACCAACTCCTGAGGAACTTTCTCAAACTACACCAGAGAGTACAAGTCATCTTACAGAACCACTTACAGAAGTTTTAGCTCCGGCCCCAATATATCAGGAGGCAACATTTCCAACACCAGGTCATGAACAAGCTGTCACATTCCATCCTTTGGAACAGGAAGTCACCATAACTTCAGAGACTACTAGAGAGATTTACCATTCTACAACCCGAAAGGAAACTATAGTTCTTCCTCCAAAGCCCCAGATGACACTTCCACAACACGTTCCTATTCAGCATCTAAACCCAAGTGAAGTCACAGTTCAGCCTATGGATCTGGAACTTACCGTAACTACACAACCTACTCCTGAGAAAGAACTTCCTCAAATTGTACCAGAGACCACAATTGTGCCAGCCCAGGTTACAGAACCACTTAGAGAGGTTGTACCTCCAGCCCCATTATATCAGGAGGTGACAGTTCCAACACCAGGTCAGGCTCAAGCTGAGTATACAACAGGGACTGTTGTTTCCTTTCATCCTTTAGACCTAGAACTCACCATGACTTCAGAACCCACTAGAGAGACTCAGCCCCATACAATCTCAAGGGAGACTATAGTTCTTCCTCCAAAGCCCCCTCAGATGACACTTCCACAACAGGTTCCTATTCAGCATCTAAACCCAAGTGAAGTCACAGTTCAACCTTTGGATCTGGAACTTACCACAACTACACAATCTACTCCTGAGAAAGAACTTCCTCAAATTGTGCCAGAGACCACAATTGTGCCAGCCCAGGTTACAGAACCACCTAGAGAGGTTGTACCTCCAACCCCATTATATCAGGAGGTGACAGTTCCAACACCAGGTCAGGCTCAAGCTGAGTATACGACAGCACATGTTGTCTCATTCCATCCTTTGGACTTGGGACTCACCACAACTTCAGAAACTACCAAAGAGCCTCAACCTCCTACAATCCCACAGGAGATTATAGTTCTTCCTCCAAATCCCCCTCAGATGACACTTCCACAACAGGTTCCTATTCAGCATCTAAACCCAAGTGAAGTCACAGTTCAACCTATGGATCTGGAACTTACCATAACTCATCAACCAACTCCTGAGGAACTTTCTCAAACTACACCAGAGAGTACAACTCATCTTACAGAACCACTTACAGAAGTTTTAGCTCCAGTCCCATTATATCAAGAGGTGGCAGTTCCAACACTAGGTCAGGATCAAGCTGATACAACAACACATGTTGTCTCATTTCATCCTTTGGACTTGGGACTCACCACAACTTCAGAACCTACCAGAGAGCCTCAACCTCCTGCAACCCCACAGGAAACTGCATTTTCTCCTCCACAGTACCATCAGTTGACACTTCCAGAAGAAGTTCATATTCAACACCCAAATCTAACTGAAGTTACAATTCAACCTTTGGATCTGGAATTAACAGTAACTCCAAGTTCCCATCTGGATGTTGAACCTTCTCCAAGCACACAGGAGATCCTTCCTGAGCCTGAACAGCCACATGAGGTGGTTGCGGCTCAAGCTCCAGTGTTTTATGAAATACCAATTCAGGATCAAACTCAGCATCCACTTGTTTCTGAAGTCACAGTTCAACAAATAGAATTAGAGCATAACCTAATTACAATATCCAAATTAGAGACTGAACTTTTTGCAGCCCCATATAATATTACAGCTCTTCCTCTAACACACCAAGAAGTGACCTTTCAACCTGAAGACCAGGTTCATGCTCAGCATGTAAACCCAACTCAAGTCACAATTCATCCCTCACACCCAGAATTTTCCATAACTCCACGACCTGCTACAATGGTTAAGCGTTCAGCACCAGTTCAGCCTACAGAGTCACCTAAGGCAACTGTAACTCAATCTTCAGCACATTTTGATGCAACAGTTCTAGCAACAGTTCATGATCAATCTCAGCATCCAAACTTAGAGACCTTACATTCTGAAATCTCAGCAATTACTCAACCAGAATCTTCACATTTCACCATCCCAGCAATTACTCATCCAGAAACTACACACTCCATAGTCCTAACAACTACTCATCTAGAGACTACACAATCTGCAGTCCCAAAAGCTACATCCCCTCCTCCAACACAACATGAGGGGACACTTCCACCTCCAAACCAGGTTCAGACTCTACAGTCAAATTCAACTGAAGTCACTACTCAGTCTTCTCAAACAGAATTTTCCACAGCTCTACAATCTGTTAGCTTGGTAAGCCCTTCTCCACCTATGAGTCATATCACAGCTCAGTCTACAGTTCTAACATCAGTTCAAGATCAAGGTCAGCATCCAACTACAGCTCCTCCTCCAACATATCCTATCGTGACATTTCCATCTACAGAACAGGTTCAGACTCAGCAAATCCCAAGTGAAGCCACACTTCAACCTATGGATATGGAATTTCCCCTAACTCCATATGCTACAACTTTTAGTACAGAAAGAGAGTTACTTGTTCAAATGAAACCAAATTCATCCATGACCACCAACATATGTGACTTCTGCTTGTGTGAAAATGAGACACTATTGTGTAGTCATCTCAGCCCAAAGCGGAGACTCCACCAAGTGCCTGTGCCAAGGCCTGAAATCCACAAACACCCCTTAACTTTTTTGTAAGAATAACCTTTACTTATTTCTATTTTACATTCTACTTGACATGGCAGCCTTTTCCTCAAAGCCCTACTGGACCTTCCTTGTCACCCCAACCAACACTGGCTGACTTTCTGCTTTGATCTTTGCTTGTGAATTCTTCCTTATCCTTCTTCTTACTGCAGTGCCCTGTCTCCAATTAGCTCCATTAGATCATGGCTCAACTTTGGCTCTTCCATTTTCACTCCAGCCTCTCTATAACTCATCTCATTGGTGAGAATGCACCGAAGAGGTCAGAGAAGATTCCAGAGCTTGACTCCTGGGGTTTGACCCCAGGTCTTTCATGTGGTAGTTCTGCTTAGCTGTGATGAAACTCCCTCATGTAAAATGGGGAGTATAATAGCTACTATTTCATAGGGTTGCTGCGAGGTTCAGTTGACTACATGGAATACTTATCCAGTTCTTAACATACATGAATGTTAGCTATTAAGACTACACAATCTGTCAGAGCTCATCTTTGTTCTAGGACATATAACCTTTTGTGCATTTTGGGCGTTAAAAACTGTGAGAACCACATATGTATGGTGTTGTCTCTAGAACATGAAAATGATACATCGGGGAAAAGGGAGCATTAAACTTTTACCTGTTTCTCAAAGGATGTCTATTGTTGAATAGAGGAAAATAAGAGAGTACAGCCTAGGCAAAGGCATGGCTATAAGAATAATGGGGATTTAGAATAGGCAGATTAAAAACAAGTAAAGATACTGTGTAAGATCTGGACTATCAGCTGTAGGATTTAGAAAGTGACACGGAGAGACATGGAAACCCATTAGACGTTTCCAGGAAAGAGAGAAAAATTAATAAGACAGGAGAAATTTTTTATAATAAACTCTCCACTGTGGTGGCCCATGAGAAAGAGAAGACAGGATTTAGTGACTGGTTAAATTTAGAGTTGGGCTGTAGAGTGTACAGCAAAGAGGAAAGTGGAATGTGCACCCACAGATTTGAAATTCACGTTTCGCAGAAATGTCTCACTGCTTGCACCAGTGGCCCTTGGAAACTGACAGATGTGGGAATTAGAAGATTGATGGTTTCCTTCATTCTGCATTGAACACCTCCACGAGGGTGCAATGAGTTTACTGCTTCTGCTTATTCTTTTCCTATTTATTCAAGTATATAAACTGTTTCTTCACAGGAATTTCCAAGGAAATTCTATTTCTTACATTGAAAAACATGTATGGAAAGCATACCGTTGGACTGAGACGCTGTGAGTATATTTTTTTATAAATGTAAACACAAAAATAAACAACAACGACAAAAGCACTATACTTTTTTGTAAGATCCCTCTTGGTCCAGATTTTGTGGTAAATACCTCTGAGAACAGGTATTTCCTCTTCACAGCCCAAATAAACCTATAATGACTAAATTTCCCTGGTCAATTTTGTGGGGACTGGGGTGTATGTAGCTCGGGGGAGAATAGTTGCCTAGCACACATGAGGCCATAAGTTTAAACACCATCAATTCGGCCCAAACTTGTCTTACCTTTTCTTTTGTATGTATTTCTGTGAGCACACAAAGCAGGGCGTGCCTGTGGAGGCCAGAGGACAGCGTGGAGCTTGCTCTTCTCCTTCCACATGTGGGGCCACGAGATTGAACCAGGTTTTCATCTTGGCAGCAGGTTCCCTTTCCCTTGGGGTCATTTTGGTGTCCAGGTTTTAAAATTAAATTTTATGGACTTCCTCTGAAAAAATTACAATTTAAATTCGTCTCCCGTATAGATGTTGTCTATGATAACATTTTTTGGTTGTTTTTGTTTTTAAGACAGAGTCTCTATGTGTCCTTGGCTGGCCTGAGATTCACTAAGTAGACCAGGCTGGCCTCAAACTCAAAGAGATCTGCCTGCCTCTCCTTCTTAAGTGCTAGATTAAAGATGTGTGCCACCACACCTAGCCTACAATTGCATTCTTAGTATATAAGTTATATTAATGAACTAACATTAATTATATAAAAATATAATAAATATATAAATTAAATATCAGGTATAGTGAAACCTTCCCTGTGCTTTAATTTTTCATCTCTGAGGTAATGTATTAGTTTTGTTTTGCTGTGATGAAGACCATGAACAAAAGCACCTGAGAGAGGAAAGAGTTTATTTCATCTTACACATCAGTAATTAATAAAGAAAATGCCCCACTCCCACAGTGCAGACATTCTCTCAATTGAAATCCGTCTTCACAGATGACCCTAGTCTGTGTCAAACTGAAAAAAAGCTGATGAGGACAGGTAGCCATTACTGTGAATTTGGTATATATCTTTCCAGACATATTCAGAAAAATAAATTTGATATCTATTTATCATTTTTACATAAATAAGAACATCCTTCAATTTGGTGTTTTCACTTCATGATATGTAAAGTTTCTTTTTAACACAGTTATTCTATTTATTTCATGCATAGTATTTCATAGTATGTACACATCAGTGAGAATTTAATATTGCCTACTGATGTTTGAAGAATATGTTTTTCTGTTATATGTATAGCTGTAATAAACATCCTATATACTTCTTTCTGAACATGTACAAGTAAACTAAATACCTAGAAATGAAATCTCTAGGGTGGAGATCATTGTATAGATGAAATTTTAATTGCCCTGAAAATAAATGGTACCAATTTATACTCTCAGCAATAGCATATGACAGCATGTATTTCTCCATTCCATTTCACCACTGGATGTTGTCCATCTGTTTGATAATTTTTGATCCAGATAACCTTTTAATCTTCCAGAATTCTCAGTGAAAATCTCCTGACTGAGTTACATAAGGATACATTTGAAGGCCTGCTGTCTCTCCAGGTTTTGTAAGTTAGTTAAGCATATCTATTTGTAAGTTATGGGTTATCTATTGATTAACAAGGGATTTGAACTAGATAGATACTAACATCTCTTCAAGCAATAAAATTGTGCAATTATTGACTGTGTTTGACAGTGTTTGCTTATAATACCAGAACTGAGGAGGTAGAAAATAGGAGGATTGCTCAAAGTTGGAGATCTTCATGGTCTACATAGTGGGTTTCACACCAGTTCCAGGGCTGCTTGGCAAAACCCTGGCTCTAAAGGCAAAAACATAATAAAACAGAATCTGCAGTTATGCCAGTCAGGGGTTGGGGGGAGGATTCAGCCCATCTCTAACATGAAAATGCCTTCTATCCATTTTAAATTTCTTAAATCATATAGACAAGCTTCAGGTAGAAGAACTCCATTTGCAGGGGGAAATGTTAGTAAGGTCTAACTAACTAATTAACTAACAGTAATTACTGAGCAATTACTGGACCTCACACGACCCCTGTTTTCTAAGGCATATGCTTGTATTTGGATCTAGTCTGTCATACCTCGATCAAGTCTGATCCATGTCCTCATTTACTATAGGAGTGGTTTGACACTTTAGAGGACTTGTGCCAGTGCCTTTTTTTGTTGATGTGACAGGGTGCCTGATGAGAACAACTTGGAGGAGACAGGATTCATTTTGGCCCTTCAGTTCAGAGGTTTTTGGTTTATGGTAGCTGGCTCCATTGTTTCTGGGCCTGTGGTGAGGCAAAGCATGATGATGGAAGGCTATGGTAGGACAAAGCTTCAGAAAGAGTGAAAGAAGAAATTCCCAGTAATAAGACATGTTTCCTCCAATTAGGCCCTGCCTCCTCATAGCACATTCAGGTAGGGACTCATCAGTGAGTTAATCCGTATATGACCTATTGCCTATCAACAAATAGACCCCCAGCTGAAAACTAAACCTTCAATATATGTTCCTTTTCTTATTTTTTGGAGGGGAAGGGTGACTTCGTATCCAAACAACTAACAAGGCTAAAAAAGAAAAATGAGAACCAATAAAGAATGTGCAACAGAGACATGTGTGACCTGCAAAGTCTAAAATATTTGCTGGTCTAACCTTTACAAGAAAGATGACATGGTGGCATAGAAGGAATTAATATTAACTCCAAGCTGTTGCATCTAAGAGAAGAAAAGAGCCATCTGCATTAATTTGAAGGTCATTAGACCAGAGTGTTCTGGGGGTTTTGTTTTGTTTGTTGGTTGTTTTTTGTTGTTGGTTGGTTGATGGGGTTTTTGGGGTGCTTTTGGTGTTTTTTGGTTTTGGGGGGGGTTTTGGTGTGTTTTTTTTTTTCAGGATAGGGTTTTTCCATGTAGCCTTGGCTGTCCTGGAACTCACTCTGTAGACCAGGCTGGCCTTGAACTCACAGAGATCCACTTGTCTCTTCCTCCTGAATGCTGGGATTAAAGGCATGGGCCACTACCTCCAGGCAACCAAGAGTGTTTTAAAAAATTTGTGTGTTTTGTTTTTGTTTTTTCCTTTTTGAAGCATGGCCTAATATAAGCCCAGACTGGCCTTGAATTCTCTAAAAAGCAAGGGTTGGCCTTGAACACCTGATTCTTTTGACTCTACCTCCCAAGTGCTAGGATTTCCAGCATCTACACAGTTTATGCAGTCTTGGGAACCAAACCCAAGGCTTCCTGTATGTTGGGAAACCACTCTACCAACTGTGCTTTATCACTTCCGTTTTTTCTGAGCCTGGGTCTTACTATGTGGTCTAGGCTGACCTTGAATTTACCCCAATCTCCCTACCTTAGTCTTCCAACCCAAATGCTGGAATTACAGGCTTGTGCCTACATACCCAACTTGTTCTTACAATTAATCTGAGTTAAATTTAACATTGCAGAATTAAGTAATTAGCTAAACATAAAAATACATAGATGATATCATCAACATGATAAACCTGTTAGGAGAACATACTACTATTAAGGCTTCCAATGTAAGAATTTTTATGCCCATGTCAGAAATAGATGCTTGAAATGATGCTTTAGAGGTATTCCTAGTTAGTTCCAGGCCAACCAGGACTACACAATGAAACCCAGACTAAAAAAATAAAGTTATATATAGAAAAGTTTGTTGTAAGTGAATATACCAGAAATTCTCCTACCAATTCACTAACAAAACAATAAAAATTTCAACAATCTTGTTGCCAAGGAAGGAGTACTTGCCACAATAATTCTGCTTATTTAGAAATAAGAATGCCGGGCGGTGGTGGCGCATGCCTTTAATCCCAGCACTCAGGAAGCAGAGGCAGGAGGAGCTCTGTGAGTTCAAGGCCAGCCTGGTCTACAAAGCTGGTGTCCTGGAACTCACTCTGTAGACTAGGCTGGCCTCACACTCACAGAGATCCACCTGCCTCTGCCTTCTGAGTGCTGGGATTAAAGGTGTGTGCCACTAATGCCCCGCCAGTTTAAAATATTTTTTTTAATTGCAAGACATTCTAAAAATTAACTTGAACATATATGACACACAAGAGAAGACTTGAGTTTGTTTCAAGGAAAATGTTCAAGGAACATTTTCCTTGAAACAACTAGTGTAGTTTTTTTCCTTTAGTGTTTTGAAATAGTCTTACTCTATAGCCCTGGCTGTCCTGGGGCTCACAATGTAGTTCAGGCTGCCCTTGAACTCAGAAATCACCCTGCCTCTGCCTCCAGAGTGCTGGGATTGAAGGCACACACCACCATGTCTGGCAACTAAAGAGCAATTGAGCATTGGGTGTCATTGGGAATCATCTGCCTCTTTTTAAAAACTTCCATTATTACATTTTTGGGGTGTGTGTGTGTGTGTGTGTGTGTGTGTGTGTGTGTGTGTGTGTTCGTGCCAGAGACAAGCATGGAGATCAGATGACAACTTGCAGAATGTGGTTCTGTCCTTCCACCATGGGGGTCTGAGGAGGTGGAGCTCAGGTCATTAATCTTGGCCATAGCTATCCGTACACATTAAGACATCTCACCAGCCCCAGACAGGTCTCTTGGGGGAGACTATGCTAGGCACTAAAAAAAGAGTGAAGACAAAAGTAAAAACATGAGTTAGAGGAATGCCTATGAGCACCTGTACAGCCAGACCTTCTGGGGATTTGAGTGCCAAGCCAAGGTATCATGATGAGGACCACTGGACTGTAGCAATGCTCTCAGACAGACAGCCAGGAGCCTCGCAACAGCACCTGAGAGGCTGGCATCACTTCTCAGTGCACAATTACTGGATCAGCAGGCCTGAAGGACAGCTGAGAACCTGCATCTTCAGAGGTCCCAGGCACCAGGTATATGCCAGTAGTTCCAGGACTCAGGAGGCTGAGGTGGGAAATCTGGGGTTGTGAGGTCAGCCTAGCCTACTTAGGAAGACCCTGTTTCAAACATAAAAAGCCATATAATCTCTCAAAATGACTAACTAAAAACTTTATCAAGATCCATAGTTTTATTGTGTATATATATATATGTGTATATATATGTATATGTATATGTGTGTATATATATATATATATATATATATATATATATATATATACCATAAAGGGTGAGATGGCTAGACAAAGTAAGTGACTCTAAACTATTCAAATCCACAGGTTAGAGTTTAGACAAGAACAATGTATTTTCTATTACCAATTCTAAATTTTACTAGTCATACTAACTAGATATCTAATGGCTAAGCAAAGCAATATTTCTCTCTATGTTTCCTAGGGATGTATCTTGCAATAAAATACGTTATATTGAAAGAAGGACATTTGAATCATTACCTTTTGTGAAATATATGTAAGTTACAAATATAACCCCTTCATATTTGAATTTTAATCCCCCTTTGTTACTTTTTGATATCTGACTTACAATTTCATTAGTAGGAAATAAGCTAGACTCAAAAAAGACAAATATTGCATTGTGTGTGTTTTGGTGATGGGACAAACCTAGGGTCTTGTTACCTGCTAAGCAAGTGTTGTGCCAATGAGCTACATTCCTAGATTTCATGTGTGTGTGTTGAAGATAGAAGAAACACTGTGAAGGGTGAGAAGGGATCTAGAAGGATGAAGAACTAAGAGGATAATGGGATAAAGAAAGCTGAAACATCAAGTTTTCTCAAATATGGGCAATCTAGTGAGTGCGTGTGTGTGTGTGTGTGTGTGTGTGTGTGTGTGTGTGTGTGTGT